TCCCTTTTTTTTTTTTTTTTTTTGTAGCCACTGCTTGACTGGCTGATTCCTATCCCTCCTCCGGGTTGTTTCTTCTCCAAGGCTGCTCCAGGCTGGGTGAGGACTCCTATTAACCTACTTGTGTGCAGCCACTTTTTCTCATCATGATCCTTAATTTATTTTAGTGGCTGTTTTGAGGTCTGGTTTCTCCATGAACAGAGACTTAGATTCTCTTCCTGTTTTGTTCCCTCATCTATGACACACACCCTCAACTCAGCACAGCTGCTGGGTGGGGGGGGGGGGCCTAATTCAATTCCAAGCAACTCTGCTGTTTGCCAGGAGTAGGACAAAACACCTACACAGGCAGATTCACTATGGTTTCTGTCCTTACAGCACTCCTTCCCGTTGTGGTTATCAGTGTCCAAGTGCTAAGCAAGGTGGGAGACTCCGTGCTGCTGGACGCAGAGTGCCCTCCCGGCTTCCAAGTGCGGGAGGCCATCTGGCGATCTCTCTGGCCATCAGAGGAGCTCCTGGCCACATTTTTTCGAGGTTCTTTGGAAACTCTGTACCACTCCCAATTCCTGGGCCGAGTCCAGCTGCATGGCAACCTCAGTCTGGAGCTTGGGCCCCTGAAAACTGAAGACAGTGGCAACTTCTCTTTGCTGATGGTGGATACAGGGGGTAAAACCTGGACCCAGACCCTGCATCTCAAAGTGTATGGTAAGTGTACCCAACACCGGTTCCCCTACTCTCCTCCTAAAAACTGCCGGCCGAGCACCTGAAGCCATAGCAGCTGAGGAGAGCTAGGTTCCAGAAAGGCATGGCCTTTGGCCATGATGCTAAGTCAGAGAAGAGCTATTCCCCAGAAGTCACATCTACGCTTCCCAAGGGAGCACCTCACGAAGCAGCCGGCTTCACCAGTCCACCAACCTCATCTGTACGCCGTTCGTTCTTTCCTTGGTTCAGCAGGCTTGGAAATGATGTTTACCCACCAGACCGTCACCTTTTTCCTCATTTGTACAGCGAGCCTTATAGCACGTACTATGCACAGTGACCATAAAGATGAAGCACAGTGGTATGTGGGCAAAGCGGCCTGTCGATCCACTCTAAGGTAAAATCGTAGACTACAGGTGGTACTATTATTTTATTTACCGCTAAAAAGAAAAGAAAAATGTGGCATCGAACGTAAATAGTTTTTACTTACTAGTTAAATTCAACTTGAACTATAATTAATTATAGAATTTTTGTTTGATATTTCTGTTTTTTTCAATTAAATTTATTTTTTAAAAACAATCTTTTCTCATTTTACATACCTATCCCAGTTCCCACTCCTTCCACCTTCCACCATCACCACCCCCGCCGCCCCCATTCACTCCTCAGAGAGGGTAAGGCTTCCCAAGTGGGCTCAACAAAGTCTGACACATCACTTTGAGGCAGGACCAAGGCCCTGCCCCCTTTATCTAGACTGAGCAAGGTATCCCTCCAAAACAAATGAATTCCAAAACGCCAGTTCAAGCACTAGGGATAAATCCTGGTCTCACTGATAGTGGCCCCACAGACTGACCAAGCTACACAACTGTTACCCACATTCAGTGGGCCTAGTTTGGGTCCTATGCAGGTTCCCCCACTATCAGTCCAGAGTCAGTGAATTCACACTAGCTCAGGTCAGCTGTTTCTGTGGGTATCCCCATTATGGTCATGAGGTCACGATCCCTTTGCTCCTCTCTCTCTTGAACTGGTCTCTGGAAGCTCCGCCCAGTGCTTACCTGTGGATCTCTGCATCTGCTTCCATCAGTGGCTGCATGAAGGTTCTATGATGACAATTAAAGTAGTTGTCAATCTGATTTCAGGGGAAGGCCAGTTCAGACACCCTCTCCATGGTTGCTTAGGGTCTTAGCTGGGGTCATCCTTGTGGATTCCTGGGAATTTCCCTAATGCCAGGTTTTTTGTTAGCCCCGTAATGGCTCCCTCAATCAAGATATCTCTTTCCTTGCTCTCCCTCTCTGTCCTTCCCCCATCTTAACCATCCTCATGTTTTCTTTCTCCCTCCCCTCCTCCCCTCCCTCTCTCCTTTCATTCTCCCTTCTCCCACCCCACCCTACCACACTCCCATTATGGAGTTTTTGTTGTTTTGTGGAGGTTTTGTTGTTTTCTTTCTTTCTTTTGCTTTTTTTTTTTATTTCTGTTGTTATAACGTTAGCACTAAGGATTCAACCCAGGGCTTTGAACATATTAAGAACCAATTCAAACAGGGATCTAGACCATCTCCGCCCCCAGCCTTATTTTTTCCTAAAAGATCTTTTAGTTGGCTGTGGTAGGTAATACATGCCCATAATCCTAGCACTTGGGAGTCTGAGGCAGGAGGATTGCTGTGGGTTCAAGGCCAACCTGAGCTGCATTACTTAAGAGCTAAAAGTAGTCACTATTTTTTTATTTCTTATGGTTCATGGGGTGGGCTTTGCTTCACAATGCCATCATTGCCTCTTGTGCAGCTGCAACTGTCCCTGCAGCTGGAGTGGATGAATTAGCTGAGGATAGAATGAGTTCTCTTTCTCAGTCTCTCTCCCTCCCTCCCTTCCTCCCTCCCTCCTTTTCTTCCTCCCTCTCTCTCTCTGCCTTCCTCTCTCCCTCCCCCTCTTCTTCCCTCTCTCCCTCCCTCTCTTTCTTTCTCTCTCCCTCTGTTTCTCTCCTTCTCTCTTTCTCTCTCTTTCTCTCCTCCTCCTTCCCTCTCTCTCTCCTCAACTATCTCCATCCACTTCTGCTGCTCCAGGCCTTTTTAACTCCCATTCACCTCCTTTATCTAATGGCATGAGACAAAAATGTGAGTGGACTCACACTGCTGGTTCAGTAAATACTCAAAAATGTGGACGGTTGTTGAGAGTCCAAATTCAAGGATGGAAACTGGGGATAGGTGAGGGGCTGGAAAGAGGAAGCAGGAGAGGGAGATGCTATAAGCAAACTGGGGAAGATTCTCAAAGCCCCAAGATGGCTGTCTTACCTGCCCTTGGGCCAGCCGTTCAGGATGCTGATTTACAGTTAGAGGGTGCACATCCAGAAATACGAAGGCCTGAAGCAAGTTGTGCATCTCAACAGGCAGAATGCTGGCTGGATCTCAGCACTATGCAGCCCCGTACCCCAATGCCCTTGTACAGGGAATAACCTCCACAGCCACGCAGGCCGTGGAGCCTCTCTCCTTCTCCACATCTCAGCGGATGCACATGGGAAACAAGGACATTGAGCGTAGTAATGCATGCAGCACCCACACCACTAAGCCCTAAAATGCCTTGTTCTCGGTATCTGAATTACAGATTTTAAGGAAATTGCTGTTTTATTGCTTCCAAATACATAGCGTGATTAGAACTAATTGCAGGAAGCTGCCAGGCAGCCGTCCTTAGGAGCTCGGTTTTGACAATAGATAAGAATGATTTGAATTAGCGGATCGGTTACCAGAAATGTCGATGGGTGTTTCTACTGTGCCTGATCGTGTTTGGAGGCAGCTTGTCCTCTTAAGTGGTGTAAATATCCCCCCTGTAATCTCTGTTTATACTATTAGTATGCCCAGCAAATCATTTCTTTTTTCATATCACAAATCCCACCAGATTGAGCTGGCATTAACGAGGTTTTGCTCTGCTTGACTTTGGAATGCTGTCAGCGACTCAGCCCTCCTGTTGTCACTACAATGCTCTCCCACTGGCCCCATTGCTCGAGACTCAGGATTTACTCATCAATCTATAAAGGAATGAGGAGCCGCTGCTTAGGATGCCAGGACACTATTAGTTAGCAGCCCAGGTATCCAACACCAGTTTGCCAGCACTAGAGAGCGAGGGTATTGAGCCCTAAAAGACCAGGCCCCTCCCTCCAGGCTCCTCATTCACTGCATTTTATGCGCTTCCAATTATTTTCTTGTTCATCAGCACGTGTCAGTGTCTGTCTCCTTCACCCAAAGTGCGGGAATGTGGGTTCTTACCTGAACTAATAAATGCTCGTCATCCCTTGTTGACTGACTGGCACGCTGTGAAAGGAGACATGAGCAGAGTGCCTGGAGAGTTCTGAGTCACACCTGAGCTATAAGGGAAGGTGGCCCAGTCAAGGCACAAAGCAGTGTGTCTGACGGGGGTGGGGGAGGGGGCTCTTAAAGGATGCCTAGGAGGTCCCTAAGTGGGCAAGAAGGGGAAGAATAGGACCAGGCTTGGTGGCACAGCCCTGCAATTGCAGCATTCTGAAAGCAGAAGAGAGAGGATTGTGAGTGTGAGGACAAGCCAGAATACAGACTAAGACCTCCTTTAGAGGAGGCAGGGAGCATTTATGTGCACAGATGAGCCACACACAAGCATGAAACATACGAAATAGCACCTCATGGTTGGGAGAACTGCAAACCAATGGAATAGGCAAGGAAGACCAGCAGAGAGTGTAGCTAAAGAGATTGACATATATCATTCCATAAAAGCTTTAGATACCAAGCTAAAGAAACAGTAACTGGAAGGTCAATGAGATTGAAAAACAAAAGAAGCATCTAACCAGGCATAGGACCCAGACACCGAGCTGTGGACTCCGCCCAGCAGCCCCCTAACCTGCTGCCATTCTTACACAGACACAGTACCCAAGCCCATGGTTCAAGTGTTCACTGCTGCAACAGAAGAGACTCAAGCCCCCAACACCTGCCAAGTCTTCTTGTCCTGCTGGGTCTCCAACATCAGTGACATAACCTATAGCTGGCGACGGGAGAGGACAATGGACGTTGATGCAGAACTGCACAGCTTTTTCTCAAATGGACAGCTGCTAAGTGTCTCACTGGGACTGGGAGACCAAGATGTGACCTATACCTGCATTGCCTCCAACCCCGTCAGCTGGGATACGGCTACAGTCACTCCCTGGGAGAGTTGCCATCCCGAGGCAGGTATGCTAAGGACCAGTAGGCAACAGTTTGGGGATTATGGTGCATCAGACCCGTTTCTGACTCTGCCTTCCATGATGCAGCCTCCGGGAAGGCTTCCTACAAGGATGTGCTGCTGGTGGTCGTGCCCATCTCGCTCTTCCTGATTCTAGCTGGTCTCCTTGGGGTATGGCACCATGGCCTCTGCTCAGGTACGAGTCTGATATGTGCAGAACATGGGGGAAGGGATGGGAATGCCGGGAAGAAGCCGGGGCTGGAGCTCCTCCCACTTGGATTCAGAGGCCTGCCTCTTTGCATCTCCTCTCTCATGTCTTGGCCCTCCCTTCACACTTTGGTCTCCAACCAGAACAACTTGATCCTCCTTCTGCAGTTCCTCAAAGGAGCCACTCTCTCGCCTTCCCCACAGGCCTGTGAACACTATAGTCTCTCTGCCTAGAGCGCACTTTTTGTGATTTTTTTCCCTTTCCATCCGGCCCTCTCTTGCTGAGTCTTCAAGGTGAGTGTGTTCCAGGAAGCCTTCCCTAACTCCCCCCATCTGCCTACCTTCAGTCTGATTAATATCCTTCCTTTAATCTCCTTTACCAACTCCATCCCAAGGACTAATTACCTGTCTGCTCCTGCTGACTTTTGAGCCTCACCAAAGCAAAGGCTGGGTCACGGAGGAGACATACCCGGGTTTGGGGGAGGGGGGAGTCCCTTGAGCGTCACGGTTCCTGAGACAGGAACAGCAGTGGTAAATGGTTATTGAAGGAAAGTATTGATGAAATCGATGAATCCTACTCTCTTCTTGCCAACCTTTTTTTTGGGGGGGGACAGGGTTTCTCTGTGTAACAGTCCTGACTGTCCTGGAACTCGCTTTGTAGACCAGGCTGGCCTCAAACTCACTGAGGTCCACCTACCTCTGCCTCCCAAGTGCTGGGATTAAAGGCTTGAACCACCTCTGCCCAGCTCCACGTCAACCATTCTTAGGAAAGGAACGCCCAAGAGGAGCCCCACCTCCATCCCACACCCACACCCAACCCCCACCCCACACCCCCAGCCAGTGGCTGACAACACCAACTTCTACAGAAAAGCAGTAAAGAAACCTGGTCAACTCAGATTTTGGGCTCTCTACACAGATAATTATCACTGCATCTGCCCAGATACCCTCTACCTTGCCCCTGAAGGAGCATCTCAGATGGCACAGACTTCATGGCTGGTTTCAGGCTGAGCTCGGTGGCCTTACTCTGTTAGCTGTGTCCTAGAAGACCAGGAGTGACAGGGACTTGCACATTTTTCTCAAGAGGCAGAGAGGTTGAGGTGAAGGTGGACAGCTTAGACTACACTCCATTTAGGGGGTCCCGTCTGTGAGAAAGAAGGTCTGTCCCACACCCTTTGCTCCCCAGGATTTGTGGTAAGAAGGTAGAAGCCAAGAAAAGATCAGTTTTTAAAGACTGTTTTATTGAGCTATAAACAATACATTGTACAATTCACCTAGTTAAAGTACACAATTTAATGGCTTTAAGTTAATCCAGAGCTTTACCTCCAACCCACAACCAATTTTAGAACATTTCTCTCACCTCCCCCACCAAAAGAAGATTATAACCACTTAGTCAACACTCACCAAATCCCCTGTGCTTTCCCCAGCCCTAGACAACCACGGAGTCTACGTTCTTTATCTATCCTGGGCAGTTCACATGAATCAAACCCCACTATGCGGTTCTCTGTGGTAGGCTTCTCTCGCTTAACCTAACACCATTAAGGCTCATAAAAGAACAACTTTGGCCACCTGGGTGATGTAAAAGCTCCACACAATATGTCCAGGGACTGGTCCTAGCTCGGCCACGTGACATCTTGACATATGACCAAGCACGGCACAACCCTGACTCATGGTATGGGTGCAGACGATGTGTAGACATTAAGAAGAACGTCCTGTTCTTAACAGACATCTCCTTTCCCGTGAGGGGTGACTGGGCTCAGGACATCTAGTGTTCAGAGCCTGAGGACGAGTATGCCAAGAGGCCAAACACGGAGGGATAACCTTCTGATCTTCTCACCAGGGAAGAAGAAGGATGCTAGCACTGACCGAGTGGTTCCGGAGACAGAGAATCCCCTCGTGTAAGGTACACCATGAGGGACAGCGTAAACTGGCGCTTGGATCATGATGCGAGGCTCTGCCCAGTCACATGATGCTCCACACCTGGAAACTTCCAGGATCCTCCTAACTTCCGCAAGTCTCCTTTCTGCCGCTAGAGAACAGCCAAGGAAGCCATCACCCTGGTTCCAACCTCCTCCTTCTCCCTCCTCTTCGCACACACTGGATCTTCTCTGGGCAAGGTGGACTGAGAAGTTGCTTCCTTAAGAGCCCTGGACATTCTCTAGAACCCACAGAAACACTGTCTATCCAGAGCACCCATGCTTCTAGCACTATATAGAAGGAATTATCTATCAAGAGACTGCCTCTAGGCCAGGTATTGAGCCCTAAAAGATATCAGATGTTTGAACTAAGAGGGAATTTTCGCCAACCACTGCTAACTCCAACCCCAGCCCCTAGAATCTGAGATCCTTGTGTTCAAGATTATCAGAAGAAAAGTTACAGACTAAAGAAAGGTGGAAGGCAGGACTTTTTCTTCTGGCCTGAAGGACTTTCGGATCATCTTAGTTCATTAAAATGACAAAGAATAGCTGACATGCCATCTTGAGATGGAAGTCATTTTTCTCTCCCACCCCAAGGCAGGATTTCTCTGTGTAACAGTCCTAGATGTCCAGGAACTCACTCTGTAGACCAGGCTGGCTTCGAACTCACAGAGATGAATTTATCTCTGCCTCCTGTATGCAGGGATTAAAGGTGTGAGCCACCATCACCCGGCCAAAAGTCATTTTTCTGGTAGCACCCTATTAAAAGGCATCTTCATCACCATTAACTCTCATGCCTCCTGCGTGATCTGGAATGGTGTTTGAGAGTCTCTCTATACACACAGTTGCCAGAAAGAAAAGAGAGAGAGGGGGGGAGAGAGAGAGAGAGAGAGAGAGAGAGAGAGAGAGAGAGAGAGAGAGAGAATTTGACCCAGCCAACAGTAAGGTCTTGCACAATAGCAAGAGAAGCAGCTAAATTCAGGGTAAATCTGTCTTTCTGAAACTGGGAAAATGGAGAACCATGAAAAGCTACAAGGGAAGAAAACTGGAGGGGAGGGTACCAAGACATTTTAGAATCTGCCACGTTCATTTTCAGGTGCAAGTGTAGAAGATCCACCTAAGTTCAGGGGGAGAGATAAAGTCCCTACCACTCAATTGTAGGATTGTCAAGGTCGCTTTGACATACGCCATAGAGGATATTGTTCTGGCCATCTTTGGAAAATGTATCCTGCCATTGAATGATTCTGTTTGGAAAACGTCTTGGCTCTTTATTGCTGCTTGGAAAAACAAAGCACTTAAAGAGTTAAACTCATCCTCGGGGAGTAGGAGCTACCATGGTTCATGCTTATTCCCATCCAAACGGAATGGGTTTTATCCTGGGGCCGCACCCAGGCCTTGATAATAGAGAGGAAGGAGGCACTGAAGAAGCAGAAGTAGTTTAGAATTGTTTCCGAGGTGGCTTCAGTCTTTCCACCCAGGAAGTCACTCCTGCCCTGGCACCTTTCCTCTTCTCCCCAGTGCCAAGAGAGTCACTATACCTGGGACGAATGATGGGCACAGTCCATTGGCTGTGAGTTCACACTACACACCTCCTCTCCACTTACCCTGGATCCCCTCTTGGGGGCTTTTCTCGGGGTCCCTGGCTTTCTCTCTCCCACACTCACTTTTCTTCTATCCCCTTTCCTCCAACTTCCTCCTGCAGAGTGCACATGGCACATGCCCACTCAACCCGGCAGCTTGGGCTGCCCTCCCCTGCCAAGTACAGGTGTTTTCTCACCACGTCATGGAAAACCAGCCTGTCCCTAAAAACAATGTGAAAGGGGAAGCCCGGCATATAGTAATGAGACATAGTGGTTCTGGGATGAAAAAATACACCCTGTCCCCCATCCTCCCTCTCTTTATCCCCCCAGCCTCACCTCCAATCCAAGCATAGTTCTTCTCTTCAGGAGGGGACTCTTGGAACAGGCCCACGCTACTCACACAAGCTACTGCTCCCATCCCCAGTGACTCACTTGTCAACTAGTAGACTTATTGTTCTTTCTCTGGAAAACACAAAGTGCTCGTGGGACACCAATCTTATTCTTAGAGACGCTGGGAAAGATGCTTCAAAAGTTACACCATCCCAAGTATGAACTGGATGCTCAGCGTATGTTGAGAACTCGTTGAGGCACTGAAGAAATCAATTTCAGATGAAGCAGAGTAGAGTCCAGTCCCATGTTCGATGGCATATAAATAAATTGTTAAGTATGTGATAGGTGCTGGCAGGTTCTGTTTAAAAGATAAGGCAGGCTGGCTTTGTGGTACGAGCTTGGAGAAAAGAGAAAGGCCCAGAGATGTGGCCTGGGGCCACCTCATGTAGGACCTCATGATCTGAAGAGTAAGAACCATAAAGTTTGGGAGGCAGAGGGGACAGTGAATGGAGTTGTCAGTCTCTTTGGGGGATGTTTCTGGCACGCACAGGTCAGACCAGAACCCTCCTCCCAACTGCCTTTTCTCTTCTTTGTTCTCATTTTCTTTATCTTTAGTGATAGCATTTGAACTTATTCTTTTTTATATAAAGGATAAACACAAGATCTGCTGAGACTAAGAGGTCCAATGACAGAATACTAGAATATAACTGAGCGTGGTAGCTTACACCTGAAATCCTAGCACTGGAAAGGCTGAAGCAGAATTGCTGTGACTTTTAAAGGCTAGCCTAGGCTATCTAGTGAGGACAAAGCCAGCCTGGGCTACAGAGCAAGACCCCATATCTCAAACTAATATGATAGAATGTGGAAGAGTATAGTGCAGGAGTCAGTTTGAAGAGAGCTGCATTCCTTTTATGGAGATATAAATACTCAGTGTTTTAAAGAGGGGGGAATTGGGTGAAAGAAACTGCAGCAATCATCAGTAGCATCCCCCCCACAAGCCTTTCTTCCATGTTTATGACATAGTACCTTGCCACATTGACCGGCTCTTACTAGTCTCTCAACAGTCCCTTCCCGACTTGACCCATATATCCATTCTGCATGTAGCCTGAAAGGAAACCTGTAGACCTCCAGAACACACCTCCCTGGGTCTGTGAAATGTTCCGTGGCTGTCTCTCCTTTGGCTATGCGTTGGTGACAATCAATTGCCAGGAGTGGCAGACTGAGCATGTGGGTGGGTAGTAGGGATGTACTATGGTGACAATCAACTGCCAGAGCATGTGGGTGGGTAGTAGGGATATGCTATTGCACAACTATCCTGGCTCCCATCCCAGGAATCGTACTTTTAGGGAGACACAATAAACTTCAAGTATCCAGAAGAGAATGGCCAGAATGGTGAGAAGTCTAGAATCCCTTCTCCCATGAGAAATGATTAAAGAAGCTGGTTGTGTTTGGTTTGAAATAAAACGACAACAAAAACTCAGATGGATACAGATATACAAATATTTGAAGGGCTTTAACGTAAGCCCAGACTGTGTAACCAGAGCCAATGGAGCATGTTACCAAGAGGTAAATACTGGTAGATACTGACCCATGTGAAAAATAGGATATCACAGCGAGGAGGCAGGTCTGTGGTTGCTCAGTTCAACTTTTTAGATGGAAAGCTGAAGCCAAAAAGGTGGAATTAGTCAATGCAAAATCAGAATTAGTTCTAAAATTAGTTTTCTAAAACAGTTCTGCCCCTCAGACTGCATCACATCACCAGGAAAGAGCTGTCTAACTGATGATGAAATACAGTTATGAAATGAACTGCTTCAACAAATGTGAGTAAGCAGAAACTGTCTCAGAGCAAGATCATAGACCAGTGATTGTTCATATTAGGAAGTTGTGCTAGGAGTGAGAAATGCATCGGTGTACAGACAAATTTCTGTCTTCCAGGGCCATCTCAACCCCAGCGCACAGATGCTAACACACTTTTCCCACTGAGTCTAGATGCAATGTTGACATTACCCCTACCAATCAAAGTTGATTTGCTGGGATGGAAACTGTGTGTTATTCCTGCCCCGAACAATCTGCAGCAGCCTTCCAATAGTGAGAATTCATTACAATCTCAGGAAAGAATGAATGAATAAGCAATGAGATGAAAGAGGCCAGTGGAAGGGTTCTGCCAAGGAATTGGAAAGCGGCCGTGCTTTGTGGGGGAAGATTTATCTAGCTTCTCTTTTGCTGCCATTTTTCTCAGCGTGTTGCTTGGGGGAAATATCAGCACTGTAAGGGGAAAGTAATGGGAAATAGTTACACTATTACCAAGAAACACAAACCAGCAATCATACAAACAAGTGAATAATACACACAGCCATTGAAACCGTCATGTTTTTAGAATGTCTAAGAATAAAAGCGAAACACTGGCATTACTCAGGATTCTCCGGGTCTATGCAAAAGCAAAAACAACAACAGCAAAAAACAAACCTCTCTGGCCTTAACTAAAGCAAATAAGGAATTCATCCTAAAGTTCTGGCTCACTCAGAGATTCCAGGAAAATACTAACCAGACTTGGGGGCTCCATGGAATTATTTATCTTTTTTTAAATTTTATGTACATTGGTGTGGAGCTGTCAGATCTCCCGAAACTGGATAGTTTCCACAGTTGTGAGCTACCATGTGGGTGCTGGGAATTGAACCTGGGTCCTCTGGAAGAATAGCCAGTGTTCTTAAACACTGAGCCATCTCTCCAGCCCCAGTGACCTTCAGTTTCCTCTCCAGGCAGGGCAGAAAAGAGAAAGTGGCGCTGGGACCAGCCACACTTCCAGCGCAGGGTGACCCTGTGACCTGGGATTGTTGGACTGAGACACTCTCTCACTGTCTTGCCTTCAAGCCCATCACACAGCCTTCCTGTTACACTCTCTTACTGGGGCTCCTTGAGGATCTCCATGGTCAGGTAAAGCCAATGAAACTCAGGCTGAAGAGGAAAGTGGGGTGGACAGCACCCCAACTGCTGCTTTCTGCCTGACCATGGGCTAGCCTACTCACCACCTGACCCCATGCTGGCAGCATAGCTGCGGGAGCTCAGAACACTGGGCACTGAACCATAGTCCTGCCCATCAGACCCAGGAACACATCATCCCCAGCCCTACAACCCATCATCTACCTGTGATCATCTGGTCCTCAAATATTGGGGAATCCTCCTGGCTCTTATTGATAACAGTAGCCTTACAGCCTAACACCCAGAAAATTCCTAACAGTCCCATCCTCCAACACTCTCACACACCAGGCACACAGAGGCACAACACAGCACAGCACACCCACACACACACACACACACACACACAAAACATACACATAACACACACAAAACACACCACACACACACACACCACAGCCTTGGCTTCTTCCTAAGCCTTGAGCACACATCCCACATGCAGTGATGCCTCAGCATGAGAAGGTAAGAGAGGACATGGCCTGACCATAGACTAGACGACCACAGGAAAAAAGAAAGGGGGTACAGAGGACAGAAGGAGGCTCACAGATTATCTGGAGGCCTGAAGCCTGGGCAGTCAAGAGAAGACAGATCAGTGTATTCATCCGCCAGAGAATTCTATATCAAAGGCCAAAGTTACCACCCAGAATGTCAGCCAAGTTCAGGGAGTGGCTAACTCTGAATTTTGTTCCCTGGAAGTTATGTCCTAAAGGGACAAGGGAGTGGAAGGCCTTCCAACCCATCGCCTATCAGCTACCCTTAGGAGGCCATGCTCAGAAATAATATCACCCTGCACTTTATCTAGTCTTGGCTCCCGGGGGGGGGGGGCTTCCCTGGCTCCTCACCACCAGCAAGGAGATAAGGGACACTACCTGGAGTTCACTCTCCCTCTGAACCATACTCTCTAAATTCAAGATCCAGGAAGTCCCTGCCCACACAAGAATTCTGAGACTTTTCTTCTGGATTCATCCTGCCAAAGCCAGGTAAAACCACCCACATATGTGGCCCTATGTCTGAAGTTAGTTTTTGTGGGGGAGGGCAGTGTAAATATTCACAGCTTGTGAGTGTGTGTGTGTGTGTGTGTGTGTGTGTGTGTGTGTGAAGATCCTCCACAGTGAAGGATGCAGTAGTTACAGGTAAGAAAATAAAGGGTTCGCCCTCAGGCCCAAGACAATGAGCTAGTTTTTCCCTTACCACTGTAGGTTGTAGAGTATTTGTTTGCACTGTATGAAGATGTGGGCCAATAGCTACACAGGAGGGAGTAGGCAAGATTTCTGGGGAGAAGGGAGAACTCTGAGACAAAGAGCAGCAGGAAGATGCCAGGGAGGCCCTGAAGAGGTCAGACATACAGTACAGAATAGAGGTAACCGAGCCATGTGGTAGGATGTAGATTAATTGACACAGATTAATTTAAGTTATAAGAGCCAGGGGGACAAGCCTAATCTAAAAGTCAAACTTCCATAATTAATAATGAGTCTCTGTGTAGTTATCTGCAGGCTGCTGATCCCAACAAAAAAGGGTGACTACAACTGTGCTTTGATATGAAACCCCAAAGTTGCTCAGTCCAGACTCCCCAGTCATTTTGAAAGACAAAAAAAAATAACAATTTCGAGTAACAACATTTTTATTGTTTAAGAATTTTGTATGTGTGTGTAATAGGTTTTGATTAAACTCGCCCACATTCCCCTCCCTTCAAATCCTTCCACATCCTCCCTACCACTTTTCCTCCTAATTTCACATACTCATTTATTTAAAGCCCACTGAGTCCACTTAGTGCTGCCTGAACATATGAGACCATCTATTTGAGCATAAGAGCTCTCTCACAGGCCACATCCTCATAGGAAACTGACTTTTTCCCTCCCCAAGAAGCCACCAACTGCCCATCGTTCCTCAGCCAGAGACAGGACTTCACGAGCCCTTCCTTGATCTATGCTGGGATTTTTGGCTTGCTTGGTCATGTGCAAGGAGCATGCATGCAGGTACAGCCATTGTGAGATCACGCGTGAGCTCACATGTGAGTTCACATGTACAGTGGTGCCGTCTCGTCCAGCAAGCACTACTTCACTGCAGATGTCCCCTACCTCTGACCCTTACATCCCTCCTGCTCCCTCCTCTCCGATGATTTAGAGTTACAAATGTGAAGAGTGGGCTTACACGGGAGGACCCTTCCCCTTGGGCTTTTTATTTCCTGTCATAATTCCTAGCCAATCTCCATCCTTACCTACAGCTCCTAAAGATCCACATCAGAAGGCTGTGAATTCGAACTTGGCACAACAGATTCTGATGTCCCAGTCGGCTGAGCTGTCCACCTTCAGGATTTATTCTCTCAGCGTGCCTTTAAAGGGTGCCTACTACAAGCAAGCTACACTGAGAAAGCAGCTGCCAAGGAGACAAACCTGCCTCTGCCTCTCACTGCGCTCAGGAGGCAGCAGTCCGCCAGGCAGAGACAGGCACCAGACGAATAAGCACAAATGGGTAAGGGGAATCGTACCAAGTTTCTTCAGAAGAAAATAATTGAGAACAGCGAGTAAGAAAAAGAACTGAGGGAGAAAATATAGCTGGCAGGAAGGCAGCTCGCAAAATGCCTCTCTGAGGAGGGGACATTTAAGCCACAAGCAGCAGAGAGAGTGGGAATTGGTAAAGCAGAGGAGGGAAGGCCTGCAAGCTCAGACATGGGCAAGGATGGGGAGCCTTCTGGAAAGGTTTTGATATGTTTGAATGTCTAAACTTTCGGCTCTAAAGGAAGGTCCCTGTGGCCAATAGGTAATGAGCAAGAGGGGCCTTGAAAAAAGCCTATTGCAGAGGTCAGGTCAGGCAGGGTCTGGTAAGACACGGTCAGACTTACATTTTAATTATAAAGGTAAAAGGAGGCCACTGGAGAGCTCTAAGGGAGGAAATGACATGATCTGACTCGCATTTTTAAAAGGCCTGACTGGCCCTGTGTGAAGAATCGAGCTAAGGGGGAAATAAAAGCCCGAAGACAAAGCCACTGCAGTGATCCTAGCAGAAAGAGGTGCAGCCTCGAACGGACGCAGAGCAGTGGGGGGAAGCAGATATATCTAATAAGCTCCCCGCACCTAGAATAGACATGGCTCTGTGTCTAAGGCCACCACAGGGGTACCTGGTCTGAGTAGACATGATGGGTAGATGGGGGTGTCATTCATCAAAACTGGTAATACCGAGAGCTGAGCACATTGTAGGATAGAGTCAAGAATTCCCTCATCCTTAATTATCAGGGGACAGGAGCTAACGAAAAAATATGAAAAGGATGAGAAATATATTGGTTTGGATCATATGAAAATTGTCAGAGATACAAGCAATACAGATGATTTCATAGAATTCAACCCAGTAATTTCAATATAAGTCAGCCTAAGGGAGAAAAATCCCTCCTCCTCTCTGGTTCTATGCCCACCCAGGATCATAGGGATATATTATAATCGGGCACTTTTTACACTGCACATCTACCAGGTTCCTCAGACATGAACTTGAGAATTGAAGTTTATGAGGTATTTTTAGGATAAAAGCAGCTCCCAAAGAGACTTCGGCCCAAACTCATCCAGACCCACAGTGTCCTCTCTCCTGGCCTGGATCCAGCCTTAAAATTTTCAGAAAAAAAAAAAATTTCAGAAAAATCAAGAACACCCAGGACCTGAAATCATAATGATAAAGAGTTCTGGAACTGCCTTGCAAGCTATGAGGAAACGTCCCGTGACTCCAACCTACCCACAGAGACTCCTGCAGTGCTGGGGTCACACAGAAACTGTCTGGTTGGAGTCCCTGCAAAAAGCCTTTCTGAGCAATGGTGGTGACATGGCCAGGTTAAATCAGACACAGAAGGCTGGTGCCTCACTTACTACAAAGCATCTGTGTTGCCCCATGCTATGATTGTCCCTCAAAGGTGTCACACAGGCCAGGTCAGAGGCACTGCAGTATCCTTTCATGAGGAGGACATCAAGAATTGCTGCCTGTCAGGAAACTGGGAAAGAGAGGGTGCAAAACACTCTTGAAAGGCAGTTGGGAGCTCACTGCTGATTAGTGCCCGGTGCCTGCCTGCTCATGGCTGGCAGCTGGCTGCAAACAGCAAGGTTAAAGGTCACTAGATGCTCGGTCACTCTGGCCTAAAGATGCCCTAGTCACTTCCGAGGGCTAACAAGTTATCTGGGAAACGGGAAGACAGAGGGGGATTCAAGACTACCCCAAGTCTGGACGGAGGAGGAGACTGTGGTCTATTGCATCCTATGCCTTGACCCTGTAGCCACTCAGCCATCACTATCCCAGCAGACTTGCCCCCTCACCACACAAACATCCCATTACCAAGTTGTCCCCTTGCCTCCGAGTCCCAGCCAGGCCTCGGTGCTGTCTTCAGAGCTAGGTCTCATTCCTGGAGGCTGAGTCAGCTGGGTTCTAAACACTAAAGCAGGGTCTCTTTATACTGTCTGGATTGGGAATGTCTAGAGAAAATGCAGAAGAAGCCAGAATCCCTGGACCCTGGCGGAATGCAGCTCCAGAGGACTGTTTGCAGCAAAAGAAATAAAAGGGCCCAGGTTAGAGGATGGATCTCCTGCTGGGGTGCACAGCAGCTAACACAGACAAACCTTCCCCAGCCCTAAACCCAGGGGCCTTAAGATGAAGGTGACAATCGCGAGCGGAACCCACTCACGCCCTCCATTCCAGACAAGCAAGGCTCGGCTCGCTCTTATCTACCTGAGAATTCTGACACATTCGCCGCTCTATCCCTTAATCCCGGCACTCCTCCCTTCCTCTCAACCTGACATGCAATCCTTCATCCATCTTGCTTTCTGAGCAAGTGATTCAAGGCCCAGCCCTGGGTACTCCTACTTGCAGAAGCCTTTCCTCAAATGATCTCACAGCACGCGGTCTCCCAGCTCACCGTCCACTGAATCAACAGCTGTAGGCATCATTCTATAAATTTTCCAAATGAACTTAATCATCTCCCTTAGGAGGCTGGCTGCTCCCGAAAGGATCAGGTCTCATATCCCCGTCCTGTCGCACACATTAAGAACATCCCCCAAAGCATGCCTGTTAATTAAGAGGTTAATGTGGGGAACTAGGGGCAGACATAACCATTGCCACAAAGTCTCTCCACTGTGTGAGCCAAGGGTCTTAGGTGGGGATGTTCTACTACTTTGTCTCCCCTTCCAGGCAGCACAGTCAATAGTCTGGAACCAGAGAGCCTTCTAGAGCCTTCGAAAAGCTCTGCATCCTGGACAAGACTGTTTATCCCCTAACTTCTCACCTCTCCGAGGACCGACATCAACGGTTAACTCCTCTTGCCTCAAGCAATCTCTACCCCCATCTCTTTTCTTTCCTAGAAACAATATGTGTTGAGTGTTCTCTATATGCCTGGCATTTACTTATTTACTGTATAAATATTATTTATTTATGTATTTGTGTATGTGTGTATGGTGGGGGTGTGCATGTGCCACAGCACACATGTAGAGGTTAGGGGACAGTTTCATGGAGTTGGTTCTCTTCTTCCACCTTTATGTGGGTTCTGGGGATTGAACTGAGATCATCCATCTTGGGCAGCAAGCACCTTTACTAGCCAAGCCCGTTCATGGCTGTTTTCGGAGTTTGAGTACACTAGTGAATAAAGCAGGAAAAAATCCCTCTCTTGGACTTCCTCCTTGTAGAGCTGGGAGGGAGACAACGCAGGGTGAATCAACTGCCAGCAATCACGAGGGACTGAGACGCGATGTGAGACAGTGTGCCGCAAAGACCGCCTATGGTGAGCAAATTAAAGAAAGGCGTGAAGAGGAAGGAGGACGGGCATAGGCGGAAGATGCAGTCTTTAACAAGGTGGCCATGAAGGACCACACTGAAAAGGGCCACTGTTCAGAGAGAGTTAAAGAAGATGAGAACTTGCATTTGGGCAATCTGGAAGAGCCAAGGGATCCGCCAGGGTGAGAACCCTAAGATGATACAATGTGGCTAAAGTGGAGAGAGCTGGGGATGGGGATGAACAATAACTCAGTCTCCGAGGGTACAGAAAAGGCCTGGAACAGTTAAAGAACTTTGACTCTGTGCTCAAAGATCAGTCTGGCTTCTCTGTAGACAGTAAGCTGTGGTGGGTGGTAAGCAAGCAGGGCAATCACCCAGGGTCCCGCTGAGGTAAGCCAGGCAAGATGTGAGCATGCTCAGGAGCTACAAAGCAACAGTAAATTATGGCAGGTTCTAGACTTACTCTGAGGGCAAAACCAGGATCTCCTGACCAGGGGAGATGGTAGGGTACAGATAAGAAAGAAACTAACAGACAGTTGGCATCCTGGTAGAAGAGAGGCAGGGGCACTCCAGAGAATGCTGAGGAGATTGACCAGAGAAGAAGCAGGGTGAATGGCTGGGTGGTGACCAAAGGAGCCCAGTCCTGAACTGAGTTGATTTTCAGGAAAAGGGGGGGCGTGGATAAAGGCGGCGCAGCTCATCTGCATCCACCCTGCCCTGTTGGGAAGGCTCCGAGGGGCTAAAAGCTGTGTGAAGAACCCTCAGGAGGAATGGGCCACCTGGGAGAAGCTGTCATACTCAGGGCAACAGTGGGCACCCCAGAGGGCAGCATCTGTGAGCCCAAGTGACGGGAAGACACGCCCTGGTCCGGGGAGGCACCAGAGGATTCTGGAAGCTGGCCCAGGCCCCTGCCGAGCTTGTGTTTCAAGTGCTTCCTGTAATTATGAGTATCTCTGTTACTAACGAGGACTGTTGTCTGTATTAGTGGACTGCAGGCCGCACAGGCTAGGCCCCGTCCTCCTACTGAGCTACTGGCTGTTCACAGAATTCCTTGCCCCTTCCCTCCAGGTGGCAAACTGTCTCTAAATTCAATCCCAAAACATCACCTTCCCCGTGGTCCCTCCAACCACTTCAGCCTCCATCCCAACCCCTATACGGTTAGGTCTAGGTTTCCAGGTCTGCCCTTTGGTGGAAGATGAGATTACACACTAGATATAGAGGTCGTAGTCACTTGCTGAGTCTCTACTATGTAGCCGCGTGTGTGTGTGTGTGTGTGTGTGTGTGCGCGCTATGCACATCAGATAACTTTTTCCGTGTCCCATTTCACAGATGAAGAAACTGACACTTTGGAAACCTGCTCAGTAGCTATGTATCTAGTTCTGTCTGACTCTAAAAGCACAGGCTCCTTCTGTATAGGTGAACAAGACAAACTTGTTATTTATTGTAATAAAGACAAACCTTCGTTACAACTGTTCTTTTCCTCTTCTTTATCTACTACCACCCCCCCCCCAAATTCACACAGGACTCACCAACACTGTACTGGGCCTTTATGAAAATAAGTTCAGTAATTTGACCCCAGTCCTCGTCTGCTTAGTTCCTTGCCACTGTCCAGCACTTCTGTCCTTTCCAATGCTAAGGGCAATGGCCACAGGGACCAGCAAGCCATCTTCTCTACTCTCCACCAGTGGGCACAGTGGCCAAATCCAAAGCTCTCCAGATTTCCCAAAGTTACCACTTCACCTGTCCTTCAGCACACGCCGACTAAGAACAGAGATGCTGATAAAGATTTTTATATAAAATCAGGTCACGGGACAGATTTGACCCTCGAGCTATACCTGCCAATCTGTGATTTAGGTCACATTACCTGAAATACACTGTAATCCCTCTCTGTTTGGCCTCTATAATTTTACATAAACAGAGGCTGTTGTGAAAAAAAAACTAATTTAATGAATAAGAACAAGGAACTAAGTGGAATTGGTTTTGTTTTCTCATACCAGGAATAGATGAAATTATTGTTTCCGATGGGAAAACACATAGAGCAGAATTTCCCAGGCTCCCACTAAATCAGGGGACCAAGACAGGAGGAAGGGTCCTAGGAAGCTTCGAAGACAAAGAGTGAGTTTGGTTGGACCTAGACTTGACCTAGGGTAGTAAAAATGCAGTGGTCAGCCTGTGTGGCCATGGTTACCTCAGAGGAATAAGTAGGTGAGTCATAGGATCCCTCCTACCCGCAGGATTGGGAACAGATGCTATGCCCCTCTAAGAGCTGGTGAGGAAAATCGGAGGGGCTGAGTAAATGAAGGCTCAGACGCATTTCTAGCAGACATGACCCACCATCAGATGCAATGGAAGGCAAAACTCAAGAAAATCTTGTGGATGCCGAATTGAGTTTCTAATGGATATCAAGGGAAGGGTGCGTGCTACAAAGGAGATGTCGATTATCTGCATAATTCTTCAGTGGCCCAAAGAACTAGAATTCGGTCCTGGCAAGGTTGGGAAGAGGTGCAAAAGACAGGACTGGAAAGAGGAGTGGAAATGGGTGACTTTGCGCTATTTGAGTCTCTGGAGAAACAGCAGCGAATCAGCGCCGTCCTTAAGATTTCTCTTGGAAGTAGCATCTAGGCCTAGCCTGCTGTTTGTCTGACACAGGAGTTTGGATGAGTGACTTGATTTTAGTCTCTGCCAGGACTGGGGGAAGGTGAAGTTAGTAGACGGAAGTTAAGTCATTCGGGGCATGGCCAATCCCGCCGCATGCTTTTTCCCTTTGCTTTCCAGCTGGAAGAAATGAACCTCTCTCCCTCTAGTGTGCTTTCACAACTACGTGCTGTCTCATCAAAGGCCTAAAGGCGAGGAAGCCAAGCAACCATGAACAGAAATCTTCAAGACTGTGAGTCAAAGTCAGCTTTTCCTCTTTCAAAATTCATTATCTCAGGAATTTGTCACGATGAATAAAAGCTTACTAGCAAGAACGGCGATGTGGCCCACCTAAGTTTGGTAACCCAGCTACAGATCAAAGCTTCCGTGACCCTTGCTCCAGTCCAGCTCACCCCCAAATCCATTGTTCAATGTGTATCACCACCACACGTGCCCTCTTCCTACACCAGACAGGTTACAAGCAGAAGAAAGACCCTAGATGTTCTTGTAGTAAAATCAATTGTTGAAAAAGTAAGCTTCCCTCACTGTCCACTTGGAAACTTCCCTCGCGTCCCAGCTGACTCACCCCTAACAGAAGTGCTCTATTCTTGCCAGAGCCACACAATCGCCACTGCTCAAATGAACGCTGAGTCTGAGCATGGCTCCTCGTCTCCCAGAACAGGGATAAGAATGTCCCTCAACACAACCAGTAAAGCGACATGGCTGCCTCAGTCCCTCAGCATCTTGCAGCAGGCTGGGCTGGCAGTTCCTCAGAGTGGGAACACCTTTTCCTCATGTCAGCCTCATCAGTCACCTGCCTTAGGGCCAAAGTGTGCCTGGCACGGCGCCCTGCTGAGAAGCTAACTCTATCTATGAATAAATCATCTAGAAGGCACTCATAAACATGACCAAGTGATTGCTGGCTTCTGGAGCTCTCTACTCCCTCCCTACTTAACTCTCTTCCCCTTCATCTGTACCCCCAGTGCCCAGCCCCCCAGCCCCTAGGTAAGCCATCTCTGATTCCCTTTCTCCTGACGTTCATTCTCTCTCATCTGTCTTGCCGATACCTTCAGGACAGAATGGACAGCACCTTTTGACAGACCCCAAGCCATCTCAGTAGTTTCCAGGTAATTTACTACCAAGCAGGAAACTCGAAACCTTATGTTTCGACATATTAGACATATGTCGACATATTAGGACAATTAGAAATGAAAAGTTTCTTTTGGGGAGAAACAAAAGAAGAATCTAGGCTCTTAACTAGCAGGTAGCTGGGGAAAGGCAAGCAAAACTAGATCCTTAACCCACTAACACCAGATAGGTATCCTGTGTGGAATACAACTGTGTGGTCCACAGAGGCAGCAGAGTCGACATAAGATGCTCTTGAACCAAAGAATAAAAGGTACACACAGTCAATTGAAGTTTCCTAACAGATCTTTACAACCAAAGGCTCATGTTTAGGGAGGCTGTGAGATGCCATTGAAGGTAGGTAAGAAAGGGGTTGGGATAGCCTTCACCAGGAATGCGATAGAAGGAATTCAGTTATCCGAGAACAGCCTGGTATCCTGGAGTCAAATATTCCTAGATCAAATCCTGAATTGTAACTTGCCTGGGTTGAAATGCTTAATCCCCTGAACCTCGGTTTCTTTTGTGTATAATGGGACTGATGCACGACCTCACAGAACCAAAGTTAAGTGGTAAGTAAAACACGTGAAAACACCTGGCACTTCTTGGGTGTCTAATAAACTTAACCTGCCCATCAAAGACAGGGCTGAGCTAGCTATCCTCAGGTCTTCCTATTCCAGAGTCTAAATGAGTTTAGATCCCTTCCTGGCTGCTGGAAAGGGAGGCTTACACCTGGGAAAGATAAAGAAGTTCAGATTAGGTAGCTGGATAGAGTAAAGAGGAGGCTGAGAACGTGTAGAGGTCACCTCTAACACCCATCCACCCCTGCTCGTTCCCTCTTCTTAGAATAAAAGGGGAAACAAGGTTTGGAATTTTAAAATCCGTTCTGAAGGACCTCAATTTCCCATGTGTACTGTGAAGGAATAGGACTTGATGTCCCCTTCCAGCTGTGGCTTCCGCTATAGGAAGGGGAAGCGGAGGATTCAGACAGGAGGCTAGGCAGTAAGGAACAACTTGTCAGGGTTCCCCACCCCACGCCCAGCCCTCCGTGGAACGCGGGACAGCCACCTTGGTGTAGTCTTTAAGCTTCTTTATTGTGCTAACACTGTTGCCTCGGAGCTCAGAACTCACACACAGAAAAATTCAGTCCTGACCCCCACATTCCCAGGGCTGGGGGCCCTCTGCCTTGGCTGGGGACACCTGGCTTGTTGTACCTCTGCGGTTCTGGGATACCGACTGCTTCCCTCCCTTCCTCTCCCTGGAGAGAGGAAAGGGTTCTGAACTGTCTTCCTCCGTCCCCCTACCCCCTCCTACTTCAGAGCCACAGGAGGCTCTGTCTCCCTAGGCATCTCTGAGGGAAATTCCCCTGAACTCTCTGCCGCCAGGCGGCCGGTGAGAGCCAGGTCTGCGCCCGCCCGAGCCTGTCCCCAGCTGCAGGCGGAGAGCCCCGAACCGCCTCCCAGCCGGGGCGCAGCCCGGTGCTGCGCGCTCACACTAAGAGGCCGTCCTTGCACGACCGCTGCTCGACCTGGGCACAGTCGGCGCAGTCGGCCGACTCCGCGCTCTTGACCTTGATGTAGACGGGGGAGGGGCCCGCTTCGCAGGCTGCGGAGGCTGTGCGGGGCACTAGGGCCACGTCGTCGGGGCCGCCGCAGGGCGGAGGCGCGTACTTGCGGCGCAGGGAACGGCTGACGTTCTGCGTCGGGTACCCCAGGAGGTGGGTGACGCGGCTGCCGCGCCTGCTGGCCTTGCACCCGGGCGCCTCGGCGTCCAC